TTGTTTTAGCCTCAGCACTGCTGATACTTAGGGCCAGGAAATTCTTTTTGGTTAACAGGCGGCTATGTACTATATAATTTTAGTAGCATCTCTGGTCTGTAAATTGTCACCCTGCTTATTTAACTATTATATGCGGAGTACATCATGAGAAATGCTGGGCTGGAAGAAGCACAAGATGAAATCAAGATTTCCAGGAGAAATATCAATAACTTCAGATATGCAGATGACACCACCCTTATGGCAGAAAGTGAAGAGGAACTAAAAAGCCTCTTGATGAAAGTGAAAGAGGAGACTGAAAAAGTTGGCTTAATGCTCAACATTCAGAAAACTAAGATCATGGCATACAGTCCTATCACTTCATGGCAAATAGATGGGGAAACAGTGTCAGACTTTATTTTTGGGGGCTCCAAAATCACTGCAGATGGTGATTGCAGCCATGCAATTAAAAGACGCTTACTCCTTGGAAGGAAAGTTGTGACCAACCTAGACAGCATATTAAAAAGCAGAGACATTTCTTTGCCAACAAAGGTCCATCTAGTCAAGGCTATGGGTTTTCCAGTGGTCATGTACGGATGTGAGAGTTGGACTGTGGAGAAAGCTGAGTGCCGAAGAATTGATGCTTTTGAACTGTGGTGTTGGAGAAGACTCTTGAGAGTCTCTTGGACTGCAAGGAGATCCAACCAGTCCATCCTAGGGGAGATCAGTCCTGGGTGAAGGACTGATGCTGAAGCTGAAACTCCAGTACTTTGGCCACCTGATGCGAAGAGCTGACTCATTGGAAAAGACCCCAATGCTGGGAGGGATTGGGGGCAGGAGGAGAAGGGGACGACTGAAGATGAGATGGTTGGATGGCATCACCAACTTGATGGACACAAGTTTGAATAAACTCCGAGAGTTGGTGATGGACAGGGAGGCCTGGCGTGCTGCAATTCATGGGGTCGCAAAGAGTCAGACACAACTGAGCGACTGAACTGAACTGACTGAACTGGTCTCTGCTCACCAGGCTCCCATCCCCAAGCTGTGACAACAGAATATCTCCAAGTGTCTCCAGTGGTCCCTTGGGGGTGAAACCTCTTGGGTTTTAAAGAAAACTCAAATAGAATAAATCGATGTGACTGAAGAGTGACTCTCGCCATCTAAATTTAAAATGTCTGCTCATCAAAACACTCCCAACAAGTAGGGGACAAGGCAAGTCACAAAGTGAAGGAAAATACTTGAAATGAATATCTGACAAAGGATTTGAGTACAAAATATATAAAGAACTCCCACAAAACAAAACTAGAAATAACCCGGTTAAAAATGCGGGGGTAGGTGAAAAGTCTGTTCACAAAAGAAGATGTACAAATGACCAATCATCACGTCGTGACTCATCCAGGAGGAGACACTTCAGTTTCAGTCACAGGCTCAGCTTGAGCAGAGTGGCGACCCAGCACACGGAGGGTGTGTGTGGGGTTACAGAGGAGGAGGCCGCCCAGAGCCGTCACCTGGGCAGCTCACAGACACCGCCTGTCTCGTCTGTAACAACCAGTGGTGTTTGGTTTTCTGTTCTGCCATTTCTATTCCAGAAAAAGACACTATGCTTTATGATGACTTCACCTAGGTTTGCTCTTTTCCAAAAAAATTAAACTTTTGAAATGTTTGTTCAGACAGATCTCACATGGAAAGGTGGGGACCACATCAGGGACCCCTGATCCCGTCAGCCCCCTGGGGTGTGCCCTGAGACTCCTCTACCAAACTCCACAGATGAACCTGGGCCGCGGGTCCCGCCCCCCACCCAGGCCTCCTGAGGGAGGACTCAGCACAGCACTGTGTGCAGTGACCAGGGGCTCTGTGTGTGCCCCCCCTCCCCTCCTGAGGGAGGACTCAGCACAGCACTGTGGGCAGTGACCAGGGGCTCTGTGTCTGCCCCCTCCCCTCCTGCCCACCCTCTGAGCACCCATCTCCACAGTGAGGGACTGGCAGTGCTTTCTTGTGCTTGTGGCATCAAGTCCAGACTCCAGAGGGGGCTGCACAGTCCCCACTGGTCTTTTCCGGAAGCTTCTCCACAGCCCACATCTTCCTACGGGCCCTCCATCCACCCTTGTGCACTCAGACCGTCTGTGATCCCGTCCGAGTTCCGACCTTTTGGCCCCAGTGCGCCTCTGTCGTAGTAGTGCCAGATTTGAGAAAGACAAACAGTGACGGCTGACTTCCGGATGGACAGTGCGTTCCTTCAGCCTAAGGGACACATCTGGGACCCTGCTGGGAGCATAGTGCTCGTGAGGGTTACTTGCTGCTCCTCTGAACTCCACGTTTATCAGGGTACCCCGTGTTTCTATCTGACATTCGTTCCTCCATTGTTGTTGGCATCAGCGCCTGGCAGCATTCTGGGCAGCTACTGGAGGAAGTCTGCAGAATTTACCAGAAGGCACACAGGCCTTTCCCCGCAGCGCTGCTGGCTAGAAGAGGAATGCTGTGAGGAGCAGACCCAGAGCAGCAGGTCCGGCAGTCTGGGACGCGTGCGGGCACGTGCGGCATGGGCGGGCAGCTTGGCCCCGAAGCCCGCGACACTACCCCTCCTCTCGGGCTCCAGCCCAGGGCCCTCCCACCTTCCCGTCACACAGGGAACCGATTCTGAGCCTGACGCCGGCTTCTTGTCGTCACTGGGAGGCTCCCCAGGGCCGGGAGGTTTCAGCTGTCCCCAGAGAGAAGGTCCCTGGGGGCGGTGTCACTTCCAGGCTCTGAGCGCCCAGCCCTGGATGGGGTGAACACGAGCATACCTTCTCCGGTGACTGCAGTCAAAGCTTAGTCTGAATATTTCCATATTTACACTGTCTAATTATGGAAATAATCTGGAAACGCACTTTCCCAACTGTCCCCAGGCCTGTGGCCTGCGGGGCTCCCTGGCCTGCCCGGTGTGTGGGAGGATGCCAAGCACCCTAATCAAGTGGGGCTGAAGTTGGGGACCAGACCGTTGCAACCTCTGTTCTCTGACTCAACTGCCCAGGTCTTGGGGCAAAAAGCATGAGTTTTGGAGCCGGCTGCCTGGGCTCTGCGTTCGCTCTGGGGGTGCCTGGGCGAGGTGGCTCCCCATTTGCAGTGAGGCCCAAGCGTGTGGGATCCCTGCGAGGACTGATGGGCTGGTACAGGGTGCCTCCAGGGGCCAGCGTGACAGTGCGTCATGGATGTTCGATGTCTGGAGTCTGTGTGTGAGAGAAGACCCGTGGTTAGCTCCCTGTAGCGGCAGCTCATCCCTCAGTGGCTGCCCAGTGCTGGAATAAAGAGGAGGTCACGAGTGAGAAGACACATCTGAACGGAGAATCACAAGTAGACCCGTGTGTGGGTGCCACCAGCCACAGTTCTGAGTCACCTCGCTCACAGTGCCAGACTCTGGGCTGGAAACCTGGATACAGAGATAAAGAAGACACAGCCCTGCTTTTACAGATGCTGAGAACTTAAATGTGAGAATGTTGAATCAGCAAAGAGTGGTGGTAATCAGAAGGGAAAGCTCTTCAATTGGAAGTAAGATAAAAGTGCTAACTGGTAGAAACTGGAGTGTGCAGACCCCCGCCCAGACCCGGGCCCGAGCAGCATAGAGGGCAAGGAGTCCGGCAGAGACCTGGACACTTTACGGGCCAGGGTCAGGGCGGCCCCAGTCTCGTTTCTCTCCCATTTCCTTTCCTTTTCTCTTCTCTTCTCTTTTGGCCTATTTTAAGTGGAAAGAAGGGATATAAGAGCTGAAATATGTTATATACTTAGTTTTAAAACAAAGTTATCATTATAATAATTTATAAATTGTATTCTGAAAGTGAAAGTGAAGTCGCTCAGCCATGTCCAACTCTTTGTGACCCCATGGACTGTAGCCTACCAGGCTCCTCCGTCCATGGGATTCTCCAAGCAAGAATACTGGAGTGGGTTGCCATTTCCTTCTCCAGGGGATCTTCCCGACCCAGGGATCGAACCCAGATCTCCCGCATTGCAGGCAGATGCTTTAACCTCTGAGCCGTTAGTATCTAAAAGTACATACTATTAACATTACGTGAAATAATGACCTTAAAATAAATGAGCTTTCTTAATCTGAATTTAACAGCAAGCCAGTTTTCCCTCTGCTACCCCATTTCTAAAGAAGTAAATCACCGAGAAATTAATTTACATCCAGGGCTTACTTTAAAAAGCAGGAAACATACTGTAGTCAAGACATGGAGTCAGAATTAGCAACCTAATTTTTATACACAGGCCTGTGCAATTATCCTAGTTAACTGTCTCATTGTGATCCACAGTAGGAAAGAAGAATAACTCCATTATTGCTGTCTATATTATTCCAGCTTGAGAGTCAAATAAAATGCAGTCTGTCTTGATTGTGTAAAGACTGTCACCAGACCTGAAAGGAGCTCGATTTAGTGAGAAGCATCAACCCAGCTGAACCCTCTCTCTGCCAGATATCCTCAGGGTTTCCCCCACGCTTTCAAGATTTTGCAAAAAACAAGGAGGGAGACTAGAGGAAACTGATTGTTAAGGCTGTTTGGAAGGAAATGACCATTATGATGATAATATGGATTTGAGTTTTCAGTTTGCTCTCTGCTTCTATTGCATAATCTGGACAACTTCACATAAGTTAAAATGGCTGGCAAACCTTTGATTTTTTTTCTTCTATTTTTCTGAGTGTGTAAAGCTGCCAAAAGCTACCCTGACTTTTATGAGACTCTCACGGACTTCTGAGTCCAGCTTGCTCTTAGGCTGTGTGAGTTATCCATGCTTTCAGGGTTAGGTTTCTTTCTATGTGGAATGATCCCGATTTCATTACCTGATCATAAAAAGTCAGGTTTCAAAGCAAGTCTGTAAGTAGCCTGCCCCATTGGTGCTGATGAACCCACATCCGTGAGCATGTCTGTTAGGAATGTTTCCATGCGCCCGAGAGGTCCACCGCAGGACGGGGTTTGGTAGCGGCCCCAGGCGCCGGCACACATGGTCCCTGCAGCGATGCTCACGAGGCCTCTGTCTTCTCTCTTTCTCTCCTGTAGCCAGAGCTACCTGCAAGCTGCCAGCGACGGGCCTGCCAGCCACGGGCTGGACCCCTCTGCCAACTACAACTCCCCGAAGTTCCGCTCCCGGAACCAGAGCTACATGCGCGCCGTCAGCACCCTCAGCCAGGCCAGCTGCGTGAGCCAGGTGGGGCCCCTCCCCTCCCGGTCAGCCCCCTGCTGCAGAGTCCCAGCCAGGAGTGCTCCAGGGCCACCACACTTGGGAGCTCCGTGGGCGTGATGGGGCCTTTGTGACCCTGGGAGTGGCTCCCACTCCCAGCTCCTCTGAGGAGGGCTGATGGGGGCGTCCACCACGTCCCCCCACCACCCCTCACGGAGCAGCCTCCTTCCCTGGGCCAGGCCCCCCACGCGGAGGGTCTGAGTCCCACCCAAGGGGACACACAGGGCCCCACAGCACCAGCCCCCCCAGAGGTCGCTGTTTCCCTGGACAGACTGTCCCCACAGCTGCAGGCGAGCCGGCAGGTCACGCCCTGCCGTGTTCTCTGAGGACGCGGGCGGCAGGTGGTCCAGTCCGCCCCGGCTCTGCCGCCTGAGGAAGGGGCCCGTGGGAGGGGGACCCGCAGAGGGGCACTCAGGGACCTCTCCCCGCCCCTCGCACCCTCGCCACCACTGTGCTCACACCCAGCCTGGCTGCCGACGGTTCTGGACCCGGCGCCACTGGGCATGAGGGAGCTGCAGTGGGACAGCTGTCTGGACAGGCGGGCGGGAGGGCGGGAGGGGCTCCACCTGGTCTCTGCTCGCCTTCCTGCCGTGGCTGCCTTGCTGAGGCCCCCGCGGCCACATCCTGGTTCCTGCCAGTCTCTGTGTGCTCCGTCCATGCACCGTCCAGATCGTTCTGATGGCTGGTCTGTTTGCCCAGGACCCCAGGCACTTTGCTGGGCGTGCAGGGCAGGGGGCACCCCACCGCCCCCGCAGGAGCCGCGTCCGCCTTCCCCCACGGCCGAGCCTGCCACCTGCTCCTCCTGCCTTCTCGTTGTCCTCGCAAAGCCGTGTCAGTGTGAGGGTACCTTCTTTCTGTCATGCATCCTTCCTCTTTTCACTGTGGTAAAACATACATAAAATCCACAATATTTACCATCTTAACCGTCTTCCAGTGTATATCCCGTGGCGTTTGGCACGTCACATTGTTGGGCAACCAGCCGCACCATCGTCTCCAGAGCTCTCTCATCTTCCCAAACTGAAGCTGTCCCCACGAAACGCTGACCCCCGCCCTGCCGCCCCCTCTGTCTCCTCCCGGGACCTCACAGGAGTGACTCACAGAGCGTTTGTCCTCCGTGTCGGCCCTGCTCCGCTTTCCTCCATGCGGTCTCCTGTGTCAGAGCGTGCGTCCCCTCTAAGGCTGAGCAGCGCGCTGTGCGGATGGCCTGCGTGTGCGCCGGCCGTCTGTCAGCAGACACTGTCGCTTCCCCCTTGGCTGCTGTGAGTGACGCTGTGTGAACACGGGTGTGCGAGCGTCTGTCCGTGTCTCCGCTTCCAGTTCTCCTGCTGCACACCCCGTTCCTGCGGGTGCAGCTGCGAGCTCCCGAGGAACCTCCGAGCCCGTTCCCGCAGCGGCTGCCCAGTTTTCCAGCGCCGGCAGCTGCATCCAGGGTCCCGGGCCCTCTCCCAACCGCCGCCTCGCTCTGCAAGCGCCCCTGTCCTGACCCTGGGAAACCCGCCCTCAGCGGGTGTCAGGCTCTCTGCCACCAGGAGCCACGTTTCTCACCATCTTCTGGTTTTCTCTGGTATCTCGAAGCCCACGTCCTCCAGAAGCAGTTTAAGTGCTTTCCTGCGCTTGCAGTTCGCTAGAGAAGCCGGCACTTCAGCCCACACTGATTATGTACCCCATTGACTTTGCATCCTCCCAGGACACCTCATGTCAGGCTGAACTGCAGTTTGAGTTGCAGAGAAAAATGCCCACTTTTCCAAATCTCCCTTGAGCAAGTCAGAGAAAAGGCCATTTCAGTTCCAGTCTAGACCAGTTGAGTTCCTTCTCACCTGCGTATTTGTTTGGGGGAAAACTCCCCCTCGTTTGAAGGGCCTCGCTGGTCAGCTTTGTGGCTGGAAGCACTGGCGAGGGGTCCTTGCTGAATGCCCACCCCTGAGTGCCCAGAATGTACACGCAAGGGTGATGGCACCTCTTCCAGAGGGAGAAAGGCGCTGGGCCTGTGGGTTTGCAGAGAAGGAGGACCCACCGAGACCCCGTGTTGGGACTGGCGGGTGCAGGCGACCCCACACGGTTTCTGGCCTCTTTGGGGTTGTCTGACGTGGGTCTCTGATGTAAATGGTGTGAAACAGTCTGAGACTTTCTGATATAGTTCCACATAAGGGAAAACCCGGATAGGAAGGAGTCTGTACTCCGGGAAAGGGCATACTTCGAGCCAGAGTGAGACAGTGTGGGATGTGTTTCCCTCGATAGGCAGCGAAGTGACCATGCTGGGCTGTCGGCGTCTGTCTTTGCCCGAACTCGTCTGCCCCTTTCCGGCATCAGACACCCTGAAACCACTCACATGGGGCAGTCGCCCGGGAGTGTTTCTCTTCTCTTTTCTGCCTGAACGACTCCAGGTCAGCAGTCCCGCCTGGAGGGCCCCTCAGCACCTTCCTCCCGGGCTGTGCTCACTGGGATTTGTCCAGTGAGTGGAGCACTCGTGAATAATCTCAGGTGTTAATAGAAGCAGGGAGCCAGGCCCAGGTCTGTGATTAGAGGTGGGCAGAAGCTGTCTTCTCTGATGAAGGGCAAATCCAATTCTTTACCTGCTTTAACTCTGTGAACAATTAGAGGGAAAGGATTGATCTGGTATTTAGAACAATACTTTTCAAAATTACCTGTCGACGTAGCAGGAGTGTTCAGGAAGCTGTGCGTCACGTTCCAGGGGTGGAGTGAGTGACTCAGCTGGGCGCTGGGCTGAGACTGTGAGCCGGCCGTGGCCGCCATGAGGACGCTGGCTGCAGGCGTGGCTGGGGTGCCGGGGGCAGTCGGGGTTCCGAAGGCAGAGGCCCCCCGCACAGGAGTGGCAGGGAGACCCGCCCAGGTTTCCGGGCCCCTCCGTGAACCCCAGGCAGGGACCCAGCAGGTTGCCTGGGAGAACCATCTTGGCTTCTGCCTGAGCCCTGATTCCACGTGGACTTCTGGCCTTCCACATCAGCGTCCCCGCGGGCATCTCCTGACCTGCATGCGTGTCAGCACAAGGTGCCCCGGAAGGCGGGGGGTGGTGGGGAGGAGCCACCTGTCCAGGTCCCCAGGAACCCAGGCCTGGGAGTGGCTGCAGCTCACGGCCCCAACCCGGAATCCTCGTTCCTACAGTCCCCATGCCCCCCACCCCCACCCCAGGCTCTTCAGCCTGCTCTGTGTCCCGCTACTGAGTTTCCACTTAAACCCCTAGACGTGGCTCCCGGGAGGCCCCAGAAACCTCAGGAAACCACATTCGGCAAGGACAGCACACGGAGGCCCTCTGCTCACCCGCAGTCAGGCCCCTGGAGCACGGCCCTCAGGACCCTCGCTCTTCAAAGCCCAGTCATTCGTTTCATAACACAGGGTCCCAGGGCGACTCTCTACCCAGAAATGAAATGCCAGGCTTGAGAATAACGACTTTACCTGCTGAACCGCCAATCTCAGGGCGGGCACTGCCGGCCCACGCTGAAGGAGGGGAGGGACCCAGCGGAGTGTGGGCGGCACACCTGCAGTGTGAGAGACTGAGGTGCCTCCGGGACACGGGCTGGGGCCGCCTCCGGGGATGCGGGGGCAAGCTCGAGGCTGAGCAGGGGTCCGTCTCCTTAGCCCGGGGCGCTGAGCTGAGTGGAAGCAGAGAGAGCCGCGCCCGTGGATCTTTGTGAGCACAGCATCCTTACCTGGCTTGTCTGAGCTGGAAACAGCCTGGGCCATGAAAACGGAAAAAGAGGGATGACGAACACTTTGCACGTGTGCTAACCTTTAGCCTCGCTGTTCCTCTTGACCTCACTGGTAACTGCCAGTTGCACTTTAAAGGTCTGCCTCAGGGTCTGTAGCCTTTCCAGGGCATAGTGGGAATTGGTGGTTTTTCTCAGTGTTCCCCAAGCTTAATGGCCCCCAGTGTGCCGACTTCAAATTAATCAAGCTGTGCGTGGCAGGCGGTGAGTGCCGACGGGTGAGCTCTGCGCACTTCTCCTTTGGCGCGGGGCTGTGGCGCCTGGCCGGGCCAAGCCATCAGCCGTGCTGTCACTCTTGCAGATGAGCGAGGCTGAGGTCAACGGGCAGTTCGAGTCGGTGTGCGAGTCGGTCTTCAGCGAAGTGGAGTCTCAGGCCATGGACGCGCTGGACCTCCCGGGATGCTTCCGGACACGGAGCCACAGCTACCTGCGCGCCATTCAAGCGGGCTACTCCCAGGACGATGAGTGCCTGCCCCTGACCATCCCCGCTGACACTGCCTCCACCATCAGGCCCACAGGTAAGGGACGCCCTCTGACCCCCACCCCAGACGGATAGGTGTGGGGCACCTCTGTCCTCACCGACTGGGGTGAGTTCTCTCCAAACATCTGGAAATTTTCCAGCTTACGTTGGTGACACGGAGCTGTTTGCAGTGGTGTTTTGAAATGTTTCTTTCCTGGATCACTTTTCTTTCTCTTAGGATGAAATCTATCAATTGTCACGGTTCCTTATAACAGTCAAGTAGAGTTTTCATAAAGTTTTGTATATGAAAAACAATGATGTTTTGGAGGTGATGGCATTTTAAATACCAAAGTTGAATAGATGGCAGTAAAGCCTCAGCTGACGGGCAGTGACCTGGGGTCCTCACCGCAGGCCCAGCCCAAGTCTGCACGGGCAGATCCGTCAACACGATTCCTGCCGCAGAGCAGACCATTCATGGAACTGAAGGTCACAGTCTCCTTCAGTTCTTGGGGAAAGCCAAGAAAAATCTGATAATTTATCACCTAAGCTAAGCATCACTGTCTAACGTTTCTGTGCACTGTGCTGGTTTACGTAGCACCATGAGTAAACACGGCCCGGAGAAGCCCACAAAGCAGCCAGCGATCAGAGTCGCCGAGTGACGTGTGGGAAGAGCGTGGAGTTTGGACCGGTCGGGGCTGGGGCGGGGCTGGTTCTGAGCAGGACTGGAGAGAAGTGGCCCCAGTTATTGACGTCTCCTGGGAGCCAGGGCAGGGGCGGGCCACCCGCCCGTGACAGAGCTGTGCATGTTTGAAGCCAGGACAGTTGGCAGGACATGGGGCGATGACCAGGTGCTAGGTGTCGCGGGGATCCTGCGGCCACCCGGCACCTTCGCTGTCACTCGCGGAGCCTGCAGGCAAGAGAGAGCTCACCAGATTCAGACCTGCACCACCGCCTCTGAGATCGCGGGCAGGTCAGCCGCCCAGTCTCCTCCTCGGTGTCCAAGCCAGGCAGAAGCTCTGAGCACATGACCAGGTCCGCCCGAGGGTCAGTGACTCGGAGTGCCGAGGGGCCCTGGTGATCTTTTCCTGTTGCCTGTGTCCCCAAGCGGAGGCCGTGATGCCCCCATGAGCCTGAGCCCAGGGGTCAGGGTGGGCGCGATTCTGGGAGCCCTGCCCTGCGGGAATCAGGACCCGGTCCATGCGGGGCTGCAGATGCCGAGGCCATTGGGGGCCCGTGGGGCCCAACCCCAGCTTCCCCCCAAGGCACCCCATGTCCGTGATGTCAGGGACCACCCCTCACACTCTGCCCTTGTGGGGGAAACATTCTTATCTTACTTACCTTACTATCATTGCAGATTTTAAAAATATGCTATAAGAGGTGATTACTGATAGGTTCACCAGTATTCGCTGAGTGTCTCCTGGTCTTAAGCACTCTCTTGGTCTTCAGAAATGCTCTGAAACAATAATCACCTTATGGAAAATGACTTTCTTGTTTATAAAGCTATCACTCCAGAGAAATAAATATAAAACAGATTTCGTAGACATAATACAAGAACCAGTGCAGAATTCAGACTAAAATTCTAATTTATGTACATATCATTTTACCAAGCATTACCAATACATCTTTGTATTCCCAAAGTGTATTCACCAAAGGTATTAACAAAAGAAAAAAATGCTTCTCTTCAAAGTTTCTCCTGAATGTTGACCTAGTTATGGAGTCAAAATTCTTCCAGACAACAGTGGGGAAGCAGAGGCAGGCATGCCTTCCAAAGTTAGGGAGTGGTCTGGGGAATAAGAGATGAGATGGATAACATCAGGAAAAATACCAAGTTGCCTTGAAATAATTGAAGTATAGAATTATAAGCTACCTTTTTTTAAAGGTACAGACGAATCCTTAATTCCTCCCTTCCCCTCTTTTACTGTAAGCATTAGAAATCGAATATTTGTAAATTTTTCTCTCCTAAATAGAATAGTGATGGCCTGCAGCAACAGTCTACTTAATAGGATTGTGAAACATACTAAACAAATGAGAAGCCCCTGTCTGGAGGCAAGGCAAAAACAGGGTTTCCATCATTTTATGTCGAAATATTATTTGGAAGATCATACATTTAATAACTATCCTTGGTTGATGTGTGTGTGTGTGTGTGTGTGTGTGTAGAGCGAGAAAGAGATTATTTTGACAAGTGCATTTTCTTTTATACTTCTAAAATTAGCTTTTGAAAATAATTCCCCAAAAAGTTATTCAAAAACATTCCCAGTGATTATTTTGAACAATAAGATGTACTTCAATGTCTTTTTAAGCCTGAAACATAAAAGTTGGTGTCCTTTGGTTGTGTCACCTGTATAAATGCAAATATGTAATGTTGATGTTCATCTAACAGTTATTAAACACCAAACGTGTGCACGAAAGGGCCATTAGCAGTTTTGGAAAGTGTATCAGACTTTCCGTTCTCAGCACTCACAGGCTGATGCTGCCACTGAGTGTTTCCCTGGTTTGGGGCTTGAGTTCACCCGTGATTTCCCTCAGCCCTTCAAGATGGGCAAGATGCCACTGAAACAGAGACTTGTCACCTGATCTCCAGGTGCCTGAAGTAGGACCAGACTCTGCCACTGGATACCGGGGCCCACGGCCAGCGTGACTCTCCAACGCACTGCTTCTCCCATCACCAAACACCCCACGTATTGATTAGGGTCCTCTCACTAAATGAAGTGGTTTTGAAAACATCTACTTTCATTTCACACATGGCTTCTTTCTCATCTGTGAAGTGATTTATCAGATAGATTTACTTGTCTAAATATGCATTTCACCCGATTCTTCTAGGGAAGGAAGGTTATTGATGTCATGGAGGAAAACACTGTAAAATTAGCTGATAATGATCTTTCTCTGGGTCAGAGGTTTTCTCAGCGTATGTCAGCACTGATTCCAGGAGGCATTACCACGGAGGGAACATCCACGCCAGGCGTGAGGGAGGAAACCTTGTAAACCTTTTTCTATCTGGTGCCTTGTATTTCTGCAGTAACTTGCCTCTCAAGCATTCCCCTGACCTCCTGTTTCCAGGATGCCTCCCTCATGTGGAGTCTGGCATCTTCCTGGGCTCTGGCCGCGTGACCTTGGCCCGGTACCCATAGCACCTCCCCTGACTCCCGCCCTCTGGCCTCCCGCCAGCCAGGACCCTGGTAATCCCGTTGGGCCATCATGATAGCGGGCATGGTCAGTCACTGCAGGAAACAACTGTTTAACTTGTGGATACGTGAGCCAGTCAGACTTAGAATTTAGCATCTAAACCCTGAATAATCAATGATTAAATAAATGAATTTGTGCGTACATAAATGGGTGAATGAATGAGTCACTCAGCTCGATCCCAGTGCGCAAGTGCTGTGGGGCTGACCGCGCGGGACCCCCGGCAGCCTGCCCCCACCCCGTGTCACCTCCTGGCTGCGCCCCCGGCCTGCTCACCTGCCCACCTGCTCACCTGCTCGGCGCGCTGAGGGCCCCTCAGTGCCCTTCTCGCCGCCCCCCACCGCCGCAGGTCCTGCAGCACTGCCGCAGGGCACCCCCGTGGCTCCGTGGCTCCCGTGAGCTGAGACAGTGGTCTCCGCAGCCAGTGCGTGACCTGGGTGACCCGGCCGGGCCCCCAGCTGCCCTCTCCCCCCTCCTCATGGTCTCTCACTTCATGTGCTGTTTGCTGAGCCCAGAATTTGCTTTTCAGATTCTTTTTTGCCTAATTCTGAGCTATGCTTTTGTTGGCAACTCAGGGATCATTTCTTCCAGGAAGGCGTCACTGATTTGCTCTTCATCTAATTAGCATAGGAGCCAACACAAATGCCTTCCCTCCCACCCCCGATCAGGTGAGTTCCTGCTAAAGTACACACTTATTAAAACAGAGAAATCCTAATTTTCATTTTCATTTATTTCTAAAATGTACTTCCCTTTTAAATATATTGGATATATCAGATGCCAAAACATGTAGCCTATTGTGCACGTGTTTGTGCTGAGTTGCTTCGGTCATATCTAATGGAGTCTTTGAGACCCCATGTACCATAGCCCGCCAGGCTTCTCTGTCCATGGAGTTCTCCAGGCATGAATACTAGAGTGGGTTTCCATGCCCTCCTCCAGGGGATCTTTCTGACCCAGGGATTGAACCTGCATCTCTTAACTCTCCTGCACTGGCAGGCCGGTTCTTTATTCACCACTAGTGCCACCTGGAAAGCCCCATAGCCTGTGATGGTGAATCATATTTACTATCGGTATATACTTACATCATTTCATAATTATGTTTAGAAAGCATTGATACTATGGCTTTTGTTTCTTATAATGTGTTAGTTAAAAAACATTAAAACCAGTTATTTAAAGTTACAAAATTATAAAACATTCTGAGAACTTCTAAAAGAAAGTAAGTTTGCTCTCGGAAAGAGAGAGATCCTGTGCACTGCTCTTCAGTCAGATCACTGGCTGTCAGGAGTCTGCTTTCCTTGAAGTGAGGCAGAGGCTGTGCTAACACTGGAAGTCAGAGGAACCTGGCCACACAGCACTGCATACGTATTGAGTTTGTTGATTATCTTTACTTAATCATTTTACACATACTATCTTCAAAATGCACTAAAAATTATAATGTACTTGTTACTTTCACAATTTCAGGTTTTTCTTCTTTGCTTATTTTTTCCAAGAAACACTTTGACAACTTAAAATGATGCATTTGGACTCATACCTAGTGGTTTCCTCTTAGGTATTTCTATTTTCTGGAGAATTAACCTTTAAGAAAAATTATCCTTTGAAACATCATTCAGAGGGGAAGAGAAGGAGGCTTCTTGCAACCTGCTCATCTTACCCATTTGTCTCTCCTGCCAAGTTTCCTGGTGGCTGGTTACTTTTGCTCTGGACTAGTGGTTGAGGACTAAGGCACTGCTATTCCAAGGAATGTTGGAAAATTATACATGTGATACCGGTGATGGTTAAGTTTATGTGTCAGCTTGTCTGGGCCTAGGTGTTTAGTCAAGCATTATTTTGGGTGTTGCTGTGAGGGTGTTTTTTTGAAGCATTAAGATGCTCGCATCTGAGTGAAGCAGATTGCCCTCCCTAATGTGGGTGAGCTATGCCCAATCAGTTGAAGGCCTGAATCGAACAAAAAGCTAACTCTCCCATGAGTAGGAGAGAATTCCTCCAGCCTGACTGTTCTCCCTTTGAACTTGACCTGAGAGACCAGCTTCCCCCGGGTCTTGGGCCTACCGACCCTCAGATGGGAACTAACCGTTGGCTCCTCTCGGTCTCCAGGTGCTGACGGGCCCCACACAGCTCGGGTCTCGACAGCCTCCACGGTCACTCGAGCCAGTCCTCTTGTAAACCTCTCTCTCCACGTGTGAACACCTCATCTGGTCTGTTCCTCTGCACAGATGTGACTAATTCAGTATCTACAAAGCATATTTCTTCAGGCTCTACATTTAAAATGGTCCTATCATTTACACAGGAACTTTCATCAGCAGCCCTGCACTCTGGCCAGCAGCTGGACCGTAAGGAGACGGACCAGAATCTTCTGTCCTGTGGCTGGGATTAGGGGCCGGGGTGGTCATTAAGATGGGAGGCATTTTCACAGATGTTGAGAAGCTATGTTTGTAAAACGATCAATCAGGTAGATCTAAAAGTACAGAAACACCATGCGCTTCTGCAGGCTGGTGGTTGCTGACCCCCACGTGACAGGTTTGACCTCCCCGGGGACCGGGGGCATCAGAGAAGGACAGAAGCCACCTGGTGGCTCAGGCGGGTCCCCAGGGTGTCCCTGTGGCCGGGTCTGGGTTGGCGCTGGACAGGTGACTTGGCCAGGGCAGTCGGCGTGAGGAGCTGCAGGACAGGTGAGTTCCGGTCCAGGAGGATCACTGAGGGCGGGAGCCGGAGCAGCCACCATAGACGAGGGAGCAAGAGGCCGAGGGGGCCCTCGGGACTCAGCAGACATGGAGCTGCCCGGCCCAGAGCCCGGCCCGACTGCTGGGTTAAGGGCAGGTCGTTCCAGGGAGAAGGTGCTCACTCCTCACCTGGCAGGTCTGCAGCTGAGGCCCTGCAGGAACCGTGATGAGGAAACTGGAGCCAGACTCCCACAGGGGCCATGGGCTCTGGAACTGAGGCCCCCAGCCTGGAACCCATGGGCTCCTGAGGAACCCCAATTACGTTCAGGAGGTGAGGACGGATAAAAAGCGGGTCCTTAATTTTTCTAACATCTTTGTTGTTCCGTTGCTGAGTCGTGGCCTACTCTTTGTGACCTAATGGACTGCAGAACACCAGGCCTCCCTGTCCTTCACCAGCTCCCGGAGCTTGCTCAAACTCAAGTCTATCGAGTCAGTGATGCTGTCCAACCTTCTCATCCTCTGTCGTCCCCTTCTCCTCCTGCCTTCAGTCTTTCCCAGTATCAGAGTCTTTTCTAATGAGTCAGCTCTTTGCATCAGGCGGCCAAAGTATTAGAGCTTCAGCTTCAGCATCAGTCCTTCCAATCAATATTCAGGGTTGATTTCCTTTAGAATGGACTGGTTTGATCTCCTTGCAGTCCAAGGGACTCTCAAGTGTTTTCTCTAACACCACAGTTCAAAAGCATCAATTCTTTGGCGCTCATCCTTCTTTATGGTCCAACTCTCACATCCATACATGACCACTGGAAAAGCTACAGCTTTGTCTAGATAGACCTTTGTTGGCAAAGTAATGTCTCTGTTTTTTAATATGCTGTCTAGGTGTGTCATAGCTTTTCTTCCAAGGAGCAAGCATCTTTTAATTTCATGGCTGCAGTCACCATCTGCAGTGGTTTGGAGCCCAAAAAATAAAATGTCACTGTTTCCATTGTTTCCCTATCTATCTGCCATGAAGTGATGGGACTGGATGCCATGATCTTAGTTTTATGCATGTTTAGTTTTAAGCCACCTTTTTCACTCTCCTCTTTCACCTTCATCAAGAGGCTCTTTAGTTCCTTTTTGCTTTGTGCTATAAGGGTGATATCATCTACATATCTGAGATTTTTTTCTATTTCTCCCCACAATCTTGATTCCAGCTTGTGCTTCATCCAGTCCAGCACTTCACATGATGTACTCTGCATATAAGTTAAATAAACAGGGTGACAATATACAGCCTTGATGTACTCCTTTCCCAATTTTGAACCAATCTGTTGTTCCACGTCTGGTTCTAACTGTTGCTTCTAGACCTGCATACAGGTCTCTCAGGAGGCATGTAAGGTGATCTGGTCTATCTTTAAAATGTCCCTCAGTTACAAATGCAGCAACAGAACGGAGACTCACTTTAGCTCGGCCTCTAATCCCTGGTGTGTTGGACCCAGTGTATGGCCGCCCTACAATTCATGCCAGGATTTCAAAAAACCCTTTATGTTCACGAGGCTTTGAAATCGACAATCGTTATCAGTCTTCTTGCCAGATCTCATTATTAACTGCATTAATAGACACCCCAGTCACAGAAATTTCCTAACGTTTTGATAACTGTATTTTGATGTAATTTTTTTAATCCCCTGCATTTTAGTTTTCAAAATGAAAATGTTCTCTGTCTTGAGAAGGAGGGCATCCGCTTGACCGAGCTGCTGACAGGTCACAGCCCAGCGGCAGGCCTCACAGCAGGATCTCTCTGCTGTCATGAGCAAGGCTTCCCTGGAGACACAGGGCAAGATACTCGCAGTGTTCTGTGTTAGGCTTCCTCATAGGTAATTAGTGTCAGAAATTATTTCAGTTTTTACTGTTGACTCTCTTTTCTCCATGACTGTGAGGACAGGCACCTCTTGGTGTTGAGCACTGCATCAGACACTTCTAGAGCAGGGGCTGGAATCTCCCACCCATGAGTGTTCAGTTTGCATCACAGAACACAGCGCACAGCCACGCAACGGGGGATGATGTGCTTCCAAGGGGCCCAGGGTCTCAGGGGCGCTTTCTCGGTCCCTTTGCTGCTAGCCACACAGAACTTTCCTTCTGAAGTCGTGTGTGCAAACACCAGGGGCCAGGAGGCTGAGGTCTGCTCACGGTGGGGTCTTCCATGGCGTGCTGGCCACACGGGCTCCTGCCACCACATGACCAGTCTCACCACACTAGGCTCCAGGGACACCGGCCGGGAATCACAGACGCCACCGTGACTGCCGAGCAAGGCTGCCGCTCACGGCTGGCCCGTCCTGCCTGGAGCAGTGGTGAACACCCATGGTTCTCAGGCATCCGCTGATCTTTCCTCACACGTGTCAAGGTCGCGGCTGTGCTCAGGCACATTTGGATTTGCTGCGGCTGAGTTTG